GAAAAAAAAAAAAAAAAAAAAGATCCTTTATAGACAGCTAAGTCAGACAGAAATATTGCAAGCAGGCGGATAGAGTTAGGCTCTCAAGACAAAGGTGAAACACATCCCCACTGTAAATGGAGACACATCTGCTAGAGACCAGGCCTCAAGATAAAGACAAGATTACAAGACCTGTATTGCTCCTCAAAGGACAAACACTGGGACTAATGAAGTCTAGATAGACAACCCTGTTGGGTGATCAGGACCTCTGAACCCATCATTTCTTAGAAAAAGTGTTTGTTCTTTCCATGCACACTTTGTTATGTGATTTGTTTCTCAAGTGGCCCACTATTACCTAAGTGTATACTTGTAACCTTACTGGTTGATCATGGCTGAGGCCTACACTGTACCCACGTGGGTTTTGCTCTATAAAACTCCTCTGTAAAGTGTCCCTGGCTACCCATTCAGGATCCCTCCTTCCTCTCAGGAGCTATCCTTATCAATAAATATCTCCCTACTCTTAACCTCCATTGTTCCTAGAACTCATCCTTCAATTTTTTGAGAACATGAACTTAATATATCAGATGGCTAACAGGTTGGGAGATAGAATATTTCTATCTCCAGTATCATTTCCTGTGTCTTTACCATGGGTTTTGGGGTTCAGGATAGGTTCCCAGGTTCTTTTCTGTAACAAAGGAATGGGACATGGCATGCTACAACAAGGGCACAGCAGCAAAGTTTATCAAAGTGATACTGTACTTGGAGTGAGCAGGCTCACACGAGAGAGAGCACAGGGCAGTGGTGGCAAACCTATGGCACACGTGCCGCAGCTGGCTATTCGTCATCACTGAAAGCTCTAAAAGGTTTGTCATCACTGGCATAGGGTGTAGGGTTTAGCTGTCCCACCTGCTTTACGGTGCCTCCATGTAGGGGCCTTCCAGAATATGACTGACAGCATGTCAAACACCATTTAGTTCCACTAGCTTTTGCGTTCCAGGTGAAGCTCTCTCATCTTAAATTGGCTCTCAGCTAAGTCAGACAGAAATATTTCAGGCAGGCAGATAGAGTTAGGCTCTCAAGACAAAGGTGAAACACATCCCCACGGTAAATGGAGACACATCTGCTAGAGACCAGGCCTCTAGCACTGGCCTAGACTGATCAACTGAAGACAAAAGGATATTGTGTAACTAGAATCTTCTACATTAAAAGCCTTAATCAAAAGCAATTCCAAATTAAAGAAAGAGGACTCACCCCAAATGACACTTTTGGAAAATTCTTGGAATCTTTCCCATGGGGTTTATATGACTAAAGCTGATGCTATTTCCTGTGTCCTCTGTTTTACACACTGCACCCTGGCCGTCTTCCTGCGGAGCTGGCCTCTTCTATTCTTTTTCCTCCTTGCCTTGGCTGACTGTGTCCTAGAGGACCACAAAGGCCTGCAAATTCCCTCTATTCCACCAGAGCCTCACACACAATCTCAGAACAAAGCAGATGCAATTATAAGGAACTTCGGATCCATGAATTCAATAATGGAAAAAACTCAGAATCTCACTTACCTATGTAGTCTTTTATATGCCTTCCACTGTACTCCAACTTCACTGTTCTTGAAATTCAGAGAGTCCACAACTCCCCCAGGCCCTGAAGTTTTGTCTGAAACAAGAAAGGCAGAAAATAAACACCAGAAAAAGAAGCCCTCTTGTTTAATTAGTCAGGTAAAAGCTCAACTTTTAAGAGGACAATGAGTCAGCCAAATTAAATAAAATTTCTAGGCTATTTTTCAATTTTAACCAAAACTATTCATAGTCACTTCATGTCTGTGTAAGGAATCACTACCATTTACAAAAAGCTTTCACATGCATTTTCTCACTGGAGAAACCTTGAGTATAGACAAGTGTTATTTTAAAATGTATCAGTTCAAGTTCAAGTTCCCAAAGAGCCTTCCCTGACCACTCAGCTAGCAAGTATCAGAGACAAAGTAAAGCCCAGCTTCACAACCCCTCATTCCAAACTTCTCTACAACACAAAACATGACGGTTTCAATTTGAATAGCAATGTTATTTCTTCTTGCACTAGATATGCTTTCTTAGCCATGAGATGGGGGGTGCCTAAAGTGACAGAAACACTGCCATAGGATTTTCCAAACAAGCCAAAGAATAGAAAAATCCGAAAGAAGGCAGGTAAGGCCTGTATCTTTTTCACATACCTTCCCTTCCTCTTTAAGTCCTAGTTTGCACTGCTGAGCTTTTCTATTTTTAAAAAAATATATGGAAATAACTTCAAGCTTACAGAAAAGTTATAAAATAACATTACAAAGAATTAATATTTAATCCATTTACTTCATCATTAACTTGCTCTTTCCACACATACACTGGACTCTCCCTGAGCCATATGGAGATAACTTTCATACATCACTGTCCTTTACCTCTACAAACTTTATATTTCCTAAGAATAGGAATACAGACATTCTTTCTTTTGTGACTAAAATAAGACAATTTACTGGAAGATCCAGAAGGAAAAAGAGAGAGATGACAGACAACTACTCTGGACAAGTAGGGATAATTCGAAAGTGACTTGCTCCAAGAACCACAATGTAGTTGTCAAATTTAGTAAATTTAACATTGGTTAGCATTTTAATCTACTGCCACATTCAATTAACCTTTTAATGACCCTTATAATACTTCTTTTTCTTCTAATTCAGCATCCGGTCCAGAGTTAGGTATTGCATGTAGCTATCATTTCTCTTTAGTTTCCTTTAACCTGAACACATAGCATTCCTTTGCCTTTTATAACAGACATTTTAGAAGAAATGGCCTCTCCCCTTTTAAATTAGTAGAACATTTCCATTTTGAATTGTCAGCTGTTTCCCCAGGTGATTCCTGATGATGGCAGTTCAGGTTATTGTTATAAACAGTATGTGTGAGAGGCCACTTGAACATAGACTTTGTGTGAAAAAAAAAAAAAAAAAGCTTTATTTCTGTCTAGGTGTGAAGAGGAACTGAAATCCGGAAAACTTTAGCAGGCTTATGTGAAAAAAGGCTAAATTTATTCTGTCTGGATGTAGACAAGGCTGAGGTTCTGAATGATTTTTAGCAGCTAGCTGGAAGAGAAATTAAGTTTAATACAGGGTTGAGAAAGGACTAAGGAATCTGGAGTGGAATGTTTCTGATTGGGAGTTCAAGGACAGTCAGGGCAGGTGTGCATGTAATACCGGACTCTCCAGCACCAGTAAGATTGTATATCTCATCTCAATTTTTCATTATGGTCATCTCTTCTGTTTATCCAGGATAGCCTGCTGTTTGCTGAAAACAGCACGTTTGCATATGAAGGTCTCACTCAGGCCAGGGAGAGCAGCTATGAATTCTCAGCCACAGAACTACAGAAATGATGGAGCTCTCTGAGTATCATATCTAAAGGCATCTAAAAATCTATTTTGATGCCAGCCAAAGTACTGTTCAATTTATCCCTTAAAAATTTTCTACATTTTCCCTTGCTGCAGTAAGTAATCTATGGGGAGATACTTTAAGACCACGCAGATATCTTGTCCAACATCAAGATTTCCACCTAGAATTATTTTTTAAGGGACTTGTTAAGAAATTTTTATTTTAGAGTTATCTACAAGGTGGATCAAAATAATGATGAATGCTTAAATTAAAAACTTTTGTTACAGTAAGAGATATGTTGCCGTTAATCCCCATAAATATTCACCCTCACTTTGAACATACTTATCCTACCATTCTTGCCACTTTCTGAAGCAGTTCAAGAAGTCCTTTTTCCTGAGTACCTTTATAAGGTATGATAAAATATATGGAGAACGTTGATTCCAAGTGGCATCTAACAGTCAGCAAGTAGAAACATGGTGTGGACCAGATGGGCCTGAGCCCCCAAGCAACTCTACACTTGGGGGTTTTGTGCCCTGGCCACCGCCACCTACCAATTCTGAGCTGGCTTTGCTATTTCGTTTCCCCTTGGAACAAGACAGCAGAGGTGCTGACCAACTGACTGACTTGATTTTGAATGAAGCCAATGCCTGGGAAGAGAAGAAACATTTTCATCTGGTGGGACAACACAGCAAGAAGATGCACGGCTGTGACCATCCGCCTACTCCAAGCCAGCTCTACATTTTACTTCCTCTTGCCACAGGGTAGCAGAGACATGGTCTAACCAACTGTCCTGATCCTGGACAAAGATTATACCTGGGGAGAGAAGGTAAGCCTGGAGGACGAGCAGACCCAGAGGGAAAGTGTGGACCTGACCAGGGATTCCACTGTTACCTTCTAAAAGTGACAGACAACCATGGGAGACTGCTATAGAGAGGGTGAGGGCTACACATAGATCCCTGAGAAGTTTAAATTCAGACTGGGAAGGACATGGGCCTTGCCCTTCCTAGTGAGAAACCAGGCCTAGCAAATAGCGACATTAAATCCAACGGTCTGTTTGAATCCCAGCCCCACAGTCCCCTAGATTTTTCATCCATTAGTGTTTGTCTGCCTGATTTCAACTTTATATTATGATGGACAAAGGACTTCACCATTCCCTCTATATTACTGTTCATTACTCCAAGTGTTCTACATTATTTGGGCACCCTCTTGTGATCAGTTCAAATTTGTGAAATTGGGCTTTTTCAATGATTTATAATTTATCCCTGTATTTAATTATTCTGGTACTCAAACTCTTAGACTTAGCCAGCTGCAAGCTGATGTCTATACCTCTGTGACATATTCTATTTCAGGAAAGTCCTTTTTTTATTTCCTTACCTTCTGACATTAACAAAAATAAGTCTTTTATCCATCTTGTCTCTGCCTCAGATACAATCACTTCTCCAAAAAGGCCTGGCTTCTTCTAGTGAAAAATGGTGAAGAGACAAAGATGTGGCATAATGCTATCTTACGTCACTATTTCTACTGATTTATTTTCATTTTGAATAAGGGTCACTTCTTTGTAAGTTCTTCTATTATAAGATATACACTCAGCAGAAGTGGTTTGGTACTGGTAGCAGCTACAGTATTCGTGGATCCTCTTGATCCTGCAAGGCTTGGGTATATGCTTGGTCAAAGTAGGTCTGTTTCAGGTATGTTCTTAGTGTGAGCATCGGGCCTTCCTCTAAGGTCCTTGCTCATAGGATATGGCCTTTTCAGAGTCTCAAACAGAATAGCTAAGGTGCACCTCTCCTGGTAATAATGCCTGGCATGGCCATTCTGTTCTTAGCCTGGTAGCAGCTCTCTGGTAGGCATCATCTGGTGTAGGTCTCAACCCCTCAGAATCTTCCTTCTCTCCACTACTCAGCTGTACAAATTCCAGACTTATCAGCAGCCCTGAATGCCACCATCTGCTTCATCAGTGCTAAGACCATGAGCTCTGCCAGGACTCACCTCTCTGTACCTTGGCAGGGAACCTGCATGAGCAGAAAACCAAGCAAGTGAGAGTCTTCCTCATGTGATTCTCTTCTCTCAACTACAATGATCGAAGTCCTGGCTGCCTAGTGCCTGATGCGAATGGCCTCATAGATGAGTAGCCTGTCTTTCAGCTTGTGACCATAGAAGGCAAGACCAGCTACCAGTTACCTTCTTTTTCTCTTCATGCTTTCAACATTGAGGCTGTACTAAGAAGGGCAAAGAATCATTCTTTCAGCATATAATAATGCTTCTTATTTAACCATTCCAAAGAAACTCACTTTCTAACCATCTGTTTCTTAGAAACGTACATATCTCTCACTATAGCACTGCAGCATCAGAAATACACTCTAGTGGTGAAGAGCAATACCATACAAGTGAGGGAAGAGCCTCTGTTCCCATAAAGATGACACTGACTTCAGAGGGTCAGCAGTCACCCACACCTGCATTTACATTTCCATACTCTTCCTCCGAACAGCCCAGCAAAGCACTACACTTTGCCCTGAGCAATCAAAGCTCAACGCTGCTCCTTATTTTTCTTGTTTATATGCATGTACTTAAAGAGAAGGGGCATCCCACTTTCCAGTCCCCTTCTGTCTCTCTTAGAAGCTATCTTTCTCTCTCAGTAACTCTTCCTATTCTTAAAAAAAGTGAGAAGACCTTTTTCATTTGAATCATTTTCTAGTGTTTCTATACCTAATTGTAGTCACCACTGAAAAATAATCAGGAAACAAAAGTCAAAAAGAAAACTCAGCCCCAGACACAAGGTTAATGAAAAGAAAACTGACAAGAAGAATCATGTTTTCATCACGTTCTATGAGAAAGGAAGACTTTGCAATAACGGGAAATGGAGAGCAAGTCTTTCTCTGCAGACTCCTCGATCTGCACCCACAACATGGACACAGGTAGAGTGTTTCAGCAGCAAACAGCCTCATGGTACCTATTTTTGGTGTGTGTGGTGGGGGAGTAACTCAGAATTGAACCTGGGTCCTTGGCCCTGAGCTACATCTCAGCCCTGCCCTATTTATTGACGCATTTAGAGAAAGGATCTCTCTGAGTCACTAAACTGCTTGGGCTAGGCTCAAATTTGCAATCATCCTGCCTCAACCTTCCAGAGTGCTGAGATCACAGGCAGGCACCACCATACCTGGTTCTCTTGCTACTTTTTCAGCAGAGTCTTCTGTGCTTTAGACATCCACATTGCAGCCCTAGTTCACTTTCTCAAAAAGACTCAGGTCTGACATGCCATACCTTTCCTAG